TGCTGTATATATATTCTTTGTACTTTTTGTAAGTAAAATAGCCTTAATGAAAGGAATTGTTCTTTTTAGGTCAACATTAAAGTTTTGCCCTAACCGTAGATTTTCAATTCTGTAAATCATCCTTATAGTGATCCTTTGAAGCATTTCTTTTCTTTTCTATAATATCTTGGCAATCATTATCTTGATGGTTTCCAATAAAATCCCAACAGTTCTGAAAGTCATCCCTTATAATGAGTTCTAGGAATACACTGTTCTGATTCTCCAGGGCTATTTTTTGTAGGATCTTGTTCCTAACAATTGTGCCAGGAATAATAGCCCTCATTTTCACCTGAAACCAGACCACATTTTTAATCAGATCCACAGGACATAACATACCTCTTGACTTAGCTTCATTTCACTGTCAAAATGCTCTGAGTGTGTCTGCAACCACTAATTCTTTTCCCACTTGATGTTCAATTTGCAAAGAATACATTTGTAGCTTAAAAAACAAGCTCTATTCTTAGCAGCAGCAGAATGGTTTGCCAGACCCCTTTTGACACTGTCAACGTGTGGTTTATAGTCAGTGTCAGCTAATAGTGGCCTCCCATAAATAAAAACATGAAGCATTTTTCACTCATGGACTGAGACCAAAGCCATATTCTTTATTTCCATTTATTGGAAGCTTGGTTTTTGTTTGTTCCTATGATGATTATTCTATTGGGGTTTTAAGTTTTGACCACATTGTAAAGGATTGTGCAATGCTTTTCTTAGAGCCATCAGTGAACAAACTTGTTTTGCATTTATCATCATAGCAACTCACCACTGAAATCTCATCAACCACTCTAGTTTCTTCCCTTTTTTAAGGGCCAGAATAGGTGTTTTGTCTCTATCAGGATATCAATTTACTACAGCCTGGCTCAAGGAGCACAGAAAAAAAATAACCTGTATTGACCATTTCTCTAAATATTCCCCTCGTTTCTAGGTAAGAGAGTTTTAGTGTAACTTTATAGCTTTTTGGAGTTGATATCTAAATGAAGGGTCCTTTTCGTGCACTGAATTGCATGTGCCTGGACATTAGTTGATTCTCCTTTTTCCTGCACTGTTCTGAAGCAAAGACTCTACTTCCTTACCTTCTTCCCCAGACTTAGAGGGTTTTGTGGAATTGCTGGCATTTTTCAAGTGTAGAACATAGAAGATAGATGTGAACTTCCTTTTCCCCTGATTAGAATCTTGGAACATGTTTGACACAGCTGGTTTCCTTGTCATCTCCAGTGAATGCATCTGTTGGATGAAACGAAGGGTTTTGGCATGTTTCTAATGTGGTCTTTTTCTCTAGTACTATTAAAAGAACATCTTTTCCATACTGTGTAAAATGGAGTATAAATACATGACACAGGAAAAACCTGGAAAAAGATAATGAAAAGATATTACTATCATACCCTTCCTTTTGGTTTTTTCACACACACAAGTGTACAAAATTGACACCAATGAAGCAATTAGAAAATCTGCTGCTAAGGCACAGTGAAGCAGGCTGCAGACATGCACAGGAGAGTAGCACATGGCAAGAGGAGATGGGCAACAAAGCCAAAAAGCTGAAAGCTGGCTGATGAGTGAGCTAAGTAGGAAGTAGAATGGACCAATCCTGGGGAAGGGCAGTGATGCCCCAAGGCATCATTAGTGATATTCTTACTTTAAATAAAAGGGACACAAACACTGAGCTCTCTGATGCTACCCTGATTACAACTGCCATTGGATTATGGCAGTTTGTTTTCTTCTGTCCATAAGGTTATTGGGGTTTTTTTTCCTTAGAACAAATGTTTGATTTTGGCATCACTTTGGCTTCTCCTCTTCTGACCATATGAGATGTAATGTTTCCCATTAGTTCTCAGGCTGACTGTTCATTTGTCATCTGCTGCATCATTGCCCTATGAGGCCCTTTGAGCTACCAGTAGGGTGGTGTTTGTTGTTCCTTCTCTGCGCATATACCACAGAAATGCGTGTCCAAGATTTGTATCTTTTTCTTCTATATGCTTGGCATTGACAGTGTAGTTTGGCAAAGAATAAGCAGGGGGGTTTGTATTACTTCCTTGTGGAAGTTTATTTTAAGCTCTGGTATACTTTTCTATCCTGGTTCGCTCTTTTCACATATCTTCCTGGGCTTAGATGTCCACGCCTAATGCATTTATTCTAGACAAGTAGGCTCCTTTCCTTGAGAAAATCTGATGGTTTTGTCCAAAGGTTAATTTAGGGAACTCCACAACAGTTTTCAAGTGTTCTGTCTTGCATCTAATTAGAAATTAATCATTTAATATGTGATTTTGTTAGTGCCACATACCTTCCAAACCACAACTTTCAGCTGCCAGGCTTTGTTCAACTACTTTTACTTCTTTTTAATTCTTAGTGTGTTGAAAACTGCTTCTCCTAAGTTTCATCTTCATATGGATATAAAGAAAAGAAACAGCAGAGGAAAAATTGAAGGTGAAATGATGCAAAATCAACAGCTACACTATTGTTTCTGTAACACAGTGTGTAAAATGAACATGGTACTCTACTGCACAGACAGCACAAAGTTTTAGCTTTTCTGATTTTTATTCTATTACTATTGCTCAGATTTTCTTAAAATTATCAATTTTAGAAAGTTCAAAACAGAGGAACTTCAGCCTCCAGACTCTGAAATCAATGAAAAAATACATGTACTAAGAAAGCACCGATTTTTAGTAGAAACTGTTTCAGTCTCATAGGTGTTCAAGCATCAACAGGTATCTGCTGTCTCTTTTTACTGTCCCTTAAAAATTATATTTCAATAAACTTCCTTGTCTAAGACTGCAAACGGGAAATAAAATTAAACTTTGACCTACCAAATGATGTTGTTGAAAGAATATGTTCCCAGTATGTGAACATGAAAAGAACATATTTGTTGCCTGCTTTCTCTTCCAATGCTAACCTGAATGACCCACTCCCCTGCCTTAGCATCTTAGCAGAGAACGTGAATCAGCTTCTACTTCTGAAGAGCAGTCATGTGTTTTCCATCACTCAGCACCACAGTTTGTCTCTCCATAAAGCCAAGCCTGCTGACTTGAAATATGGAGTCATAGAATGGTTTGGGCTGGAAGGAACCTTTAAAGACCTCTAGTCCAACTCCCTCCCCACTATGGGCAGAGATCTATCTTTCAATAGATCACTTTGCTCAAGACCCAATCCAACATGACCTGGAACATGTCCAATGATCATAGAATCATAGAATGGTTTGGGTTGGAAAGGGACTTTGAAAATCATCTGGTTCTGTTGTGGGTTTACTCTAGTGGGATTCAACCCCCCCAAAAATTGCTAAAAGGTGAGAGAGGTTAACACAGGCAAGACAGACTCAACATGAGGAAAATATCAAAGTTTATTGCTAACAGGATAGAAACTAAAAAGTAATAAAGTACATAGTATTAAACACACTTTTTAACCACCCCTCGGCCCCCTGAATCAATGCAGGAGAAGAACTGTCAGGGTGTAGCTAAAGGCTCTCTTCATCGGGGTGCGGGGGGTCTCTGCACCCCCTGATGGTCCTTCATGGACTGTGGGGAGACAACCCGCTCCACCATGATCTTCACCATGGGTTACAGGGAGTTAAAGCTCTGAGTCCTTTTCCTGCTACATGGGGTCCCTCTCAGGGGAGTAAGTTCTCAAGGGACTCCTCCAAGTCGGGTCCACTCCTCCCCCGGGTCGCAGGTTCTGGGGTTTGGCTCAGTCTCTATACTCCGATAGTTTTCATAAAAGTCCTACCCAGAAAAACCTGCTTCAGTGTAACTTCTCTCTCTCTCTCTCTCTTCAAGTCATAATCTTGAGCGGCGGTGGTAGTTGCGCTGGCTGTGCTCCTCCTCTCCACTCTGCTCTGCTCCGCTCCCGGGTGAGGGTGCACTCCAACCCACCCGGCTTGCTGTGGCTCCCTCTGCCCTGGTGTCCTGGGCCGGACTGGACACAGAGGAATGTCCGGGCTCTCTGCCTGCCGCTGCCTCACTCCGAGTTGCTGCAGGAGTCCAACCTGCTCAGTTGGAGGTTCAGCCAACCTGCCACCGCCTCTCCCCTGCCATGGTGGGGGAGGGGGAAAGGTCAGCTGAAAAGCCCCTGGACAGCTCTTCTCTCACTCTTTGGAATTTCTTCTGCGCTCTGCTGCACATCCCGGCCTGGGCGAGCCTGGCTCCAGCGCCGTGCCTGCCCCCTGGGCCCAGCAGCTCCCTCTGCTCCTCTTCTGGGTCCAATTTCTTCTGCGCAATAAGCTTCTCTTCTGTTCTCCCTAAATATGTAATTCGCAGAGGCGTTACTAAAGCTTCTAATGGGCTCAGTACCAGGAAGTCCACCTGGAACTAACCATCTTCAGTTCCAGGGGGCTAGTAAATCCACAACAGGTTCCAACCCACTGCCATGGGCAGGGACACCTTCAACTAGACCAGGTTGCTCAGAGACCCATCCAACCTGGCACTGAACACCTCCAGGGGTGAGGCATCCACAACTTTCCTGGGCAACCTGTTCCAGTGCTTCACCAACCTCACAGCAAAGAATTTTTCCCTAATATCTAATAATCTAAACCAACTTTCTTTCAACTTGAACCCATTCTCCCTTGTCCTGTCTCTACATGCTCTTGTAAACACTCTTGCCCCATCTTTCCTGTAAGCTCCTTTCAGGTACTGTAAGGAAATGATGGGGCATCCAAAGCTTTTCTGAGCAAGATATATGCTTCCGTTCTTATGCTAAAGACATTCATATTTAATTTTTATTGGTGCTTCGTCATGTTGTCAGTAAAGCAACTCTTCTTCAGGCTGGGAGTGTTTCTTCAGAGGAGTGCTCAAGTGTAGGTCAGTTCTCCCATAGGGACCCACAAACACAGCTTCCATACAGGACCCCTCCACTGTCACCAAAATCTTCCTCTGGCTTTTGCAGAAAAACAGGTGTTGAACAGCACTAGAAGCAGGAACTACTCTGCCTCTCCACTCCACCTGTTAGTAGAGAAAAACCTTCCTACGGTGAATCTAACCACTAAATAAGGACTTTCCAACCTGATACCTGTTACCACTATGAATTCCATGTTCTACAAGCATCCTCCCAGCTTCCTTGGGTGTGATGTTCAGCAATTGCAGCACCCTCTGAGGTCCTGCATGCCAGAGCCCTCCCTAGCACATGCAGGTCTGGGGCTGTCATTGCACGCCAGGGCTACATTGTAGGTAGTGACAGCTGAGAGCTCTGGGCACAGATGGTTCCCAGACACTGTGTCCTACGCACAGATATGGCTGCTTGTACTTGATCTGCTCAGTTACAGAGTGATTTGTCTGCATATCTCCCTTGGAAATTAACTGTTTCATACATCAGCCACTCTTCCACAGGTAAGGAGTCAGTGGCTGATTGTGTGCTGCCATGGCCTCCTCTCAATGCATTATTGTTTGAACATCTGCCTGTTTAAAAAAACCTTTCTTGCTCCAGTTGAAGCTTCGGGCAGCATCTGGGCACAATACCCTCTTGAGGTTTGATTGACTCTTATGTCTATCTTCATCTTCTGTTGAATGATTTTACTCCTTTACCACCAGCATGCTCTTTGGAAACGTCTAAAATTACAGCAGTACAAATTAATGCAAAGACCAGAGGGTGAGACATTCTCCCCTCCCAGCAGTAAGCTCAATATGCAGTGGAGCTGAGCCAACTGACACCACCTGCGAATCTGTCACTGCATTTAGACAAAACTACTCTTTCATGTTTACCTCTAAGAAAGGAGTCCAGGAACTGTAATCACAAAGGGATTTAAAAATGAGTCTACAATCTTGAGCCTCAAAACAAGTGTTCAGGTGCTGTCTTACCTTGGATTAGAAATCACAGGGGATCATTCTGCCCCAACGTACTGAACAGCTAATCCTTCTTGAACCTGCCCCACTGGACCTCTGCATATGGTGCACTGTGGGTGAGCAAGATTGCCTGGGGAGTACTTGACTGATTGAGCTTCACAAAAAACGCGACAAGGAAAGATAGAGGATGCAGACCCCTTAGCTGTCATCATCCTCGCTTGTTCAGCACTTCTGCGACTACCTCTGGTATCGGACATCTGTAAGACAAATACAACCTGCATCTGAGGCCACCACAGTCAGCTGCACAGGATAAGGCGGGAATATTCATATTCCCTCTGGGTCTTGTTCCACTTGCCTGGAAGAAGTCAATATGCAGTACTTCAGGAAGAGAATGAGGATGAAATCCCTGTCCCTGGTCAATTAGAGTATCCCACCAGAAAACAGGGTAAAAGGATGCCAAGTGTGATGTATTTTAAGTATAAAGTAAAATAACAGCAAGATTTAGGCTTTCCCCAGATAGGTAAGTATATCGATCACTAGTCTATAAAATAATTTCTATAACACTGTGTGCCATTCCTGGATTCAGTTACAAGTTTGTGTTCTATCTTAGCAACTATGAAAGGCCTCTTTTTTTTTGTTTTTAATCATTACCTGAGTTTTATACACAAATGAAGACTAGCCTCAAATGATGGGGAGCTAGAAATTAACTGTAGCATGATTTTAAACTAGTGAGATATCTTGTGTAGATCTATATCTTAAAACAACATTTGATATGTATAATTTTGAGTCCGGTAGCTCACCAAGAATTCTTTTTTTCCCAGAATTTAAATCCATTTTTCTTTGTTTACACTGAAAATATTCTACATTCCCCAAGTAAGTACAAAAAGCTATTCTGACTATAAAGCCTTGCAGTGGCAGCTTTTTCTTTTCTGTCACTTCTAGCAGCTAGAGAGTCTTATTTATGACTTTAATATAAATTTCTTCCCTAGTGTATTTGTCATTGAGGTCTTGTCGAAACTTCTGTTGTAAGTCATAAAAGTTCTTTATTCCCAAAGGCATTATTCTGTATCAGAATTTTGTCTTTTTTCATCCTTAAAAATGAAACTTAAGGTTTTCTTGATAGTGTGTATTAATACTCTCCATCTTCAGAATTTTTTGTAGTGACTCTTAGATTTTATGCATGTGCTTTACTTTAAACTTAGAATGAACTCAAAGAGATTCTAGTTTGTCTGAGACACTGGTGGGATGGACAAGGAACGATGTGTGCCCCTCATTTATCAAACTTTGGGCTGGAGACAGAGAATGATACCTAAGCACAAGCTGCTAAACTAATTTGAAATATCAGATGGCTCAGATAACTCAAATGGCCTAAGGCATTTCAAGTCTACCACCCTTGAAATGTTACTAAAAGCCTGTGTTCAGGTAACTTCCTTGGGATTCCCACCCCAAGGAAGCAGGATTAAGACACCTGAAGTTAGGTAGCTAAACATAGGTGTTTACATGTGAGCTGAGTGCCAAGCTTGCATTATAATCAACAGGGCTCAATACAAACTGGCAGCTGAAAGCACACTGAGGCCGCACATCACTGCACATTTATTTTTAACTTTCATAAAGAGTATGCAATGTTGCTTGTATGTCACACTGGGGTCACAAGAAATCACTCCTCAGCCAGAGGTGTGCCAAAGGCACTGCACAGTTGTACTCTTTTCAAATAAAGTGGATTTTCATGGGCATGCGTGTGCTGGGTGCCGGGTCGGCTGTAAAATTAGCCAGAGCCATACGAAAACTTTGCACTCACAGCCCACCGTGCAAGATCCCATAGCAGACTATGAACCTCGCAGGCTTAAAGTTCTTCTTGGTCCTGGCCATCATGGGTTCCCACACTTCTCCTGCAGGTCAGCAGTAGCACTGCCCCCGGGAAACAGAGCTGGGGGAGTGCTGGCACCTCCAGGAAGGGAGACACCTGCCACCAGACACAGCAGCATGCAGCAGGCACATCTGACTAGATAAAGCTAAGATATGTATTTTAAGAATATTATTATTACTAAGATGATGAAGATAGCATCCCATCAACACATTTTTCTTCCCAAAGAACTAACCAATTTCTCATATTTCCATAGGAAATGCTGTAAGAAAAGTGAACAGACTAAATAATTCTTAACAGATCACTTTTTTTCCTAGGGGAATGTTGAAAATTGCTTTTAAACATCACCTACATCTATTCAATATGCAACACATTACAAGAATGTCAAGTTGTCACCACAGAGGCAATGGGAAGATGTTTTTCAATAGAAATTTATGCAGCAGAACAAATTCTGAAAAGCATTTTCCTTGTCTTTTCTGCATTGTGGACTTATTTTCTGAAACAGTGTGAATGGTCTCCCAACAATGAATCACAGCTAACAAAATTACTTGCAAGGAGTCAGACTTGGATGGCTTTTTCTCATAATGTACCAAGAGTGAGACTTACTTCATAGAGGGAAAGAGAAGGAGCTGTAGGAAAGAGATTCCTTGACAGTGTTGCTAGAGTGAGAGCTGTTGGTGTAGAGCACATAAATGTACATGGGCTGACCAGCAGAAAACACTGCCTTTGACAGAGCCAAAATCTGTGGCTGCCCATGAAGTATGGCAGTCAGCATCCACTGATCCACTGCCACCTCTGCAACTGACGTTGGAGAAGTCAAGAGGTTCTGACAGTGCAACGTTAAGTGCAAGGACAATGATCTATCTAGCATCATTCCCAAAAATCGCATTGATGTGACTGTGTTGTAACCTTCATTGAACTTTTTTTGTCAGACTGCAGTATTTATAAGTAGATGAAAGAAGAACAGGATGATGTGGGTATGAAGAGTAAGGCATGAGAAAGGAGAGTGACAGTCAAAAATGAAACAGAAATATTAACATTCTGTTGGAAAACATTCAAAGTAAGTTTCCTCCCAAAATTATAAGAACAATATAAGACTGGGTTTAGGCTCTTTTTTTAAAAAGTAGTTTGACAGTCCACTCTTACTGTGGGACAAATCAAGACCTTAAGCTGCTGATGTTGGGGATAGTTGAAATTTTTTTACACTGTGAGGCCAGCTTTACCTCAGCTTGTGTCTGTACTTTTGTGGGTACCAAGTATTCTTTCAGAGTAATTTTCAGAATTTACTGAAAAAATGTACCTATGTATATAGGCATGAAGAGAAATGGCAAAGCTCAATAATAAATTGAAATAATGATTATTTATTGTACTTGCTGAGCTGGGTGTGATAGAAGTGCTATGTGTTAAACAACAACCTTGCCTTCTAAAAGAGGCTTCAGAAATAGGTATCACAACCCTATTCTTCATCTTAAGAGGGATGATTGCCTACTTCATGTTTTTTTAAGTGGCAGCAAAACTTCTAAATACAGATTTCCGTTTATAATTGTCAGGATAAAATGATTATTTGCAAGTTCATTTGCAATTTCACCCTGTGAAAAG